TTTTTCAATGGAGGCTTACTGGCCTGCCGATTTCCGCCGATCCAACTCTTCCCGGCTCGGCTGCCGATTTCCTTTCCGCCGATCCGATCCATTTCGATGGCCGATGCGACTTATCGGTCCGATTCTGGGCTCACCTACCTGCCCTGGCCCCTGGCCCCTGCTGGTGCTCGAGCTCGTGCCCGCGCTGCTGCCGCTGCCGCCGCCCGGAGGAGAAGGGCACACTTGGCCTGGCGAGGGGCCCGTCCGTACGCGGTCTGAGTAAGGCCGTTGTGCGCCTCATATTCGGTGGAGCTCCCCATGTGGGGCCACGGAGCGAGTGAGGAGTGTGCCGAAATGGGTGCGGGGGGCGCATGCCGGCACTGCCACTGGGGCCTTCGGTGGATCTCCCTATGGGGCCACGAAGCGTGTGAGGGATGTGCCGAAACAGTGATTTGCGGAGGGCACGGATGGGAGGAGAAGAGAGGACAGGAGAGGAGAGGAGAGACGCGGGGCGCTGCCTCCTCAAAACGACGACCCAACACCTCAGGATGGGTGGGAATTGTACCGATGCCGATGCCCATCATTCCACTCTAGTGGGCCTCCCAGGGCCATCGCCACGGCTGAACTTGCCTCGGAATCCTGGTGAGAACGCGCCCTGTCCCCCCGGCTGCCGCCCCTGCTCCTGCTTCTGCTCTTGCTGTTCCGCGTCTGTGCGCCAGCCCACTCGGGTGAGAGCTCTTCCGCCTCTGAGTGGCTTTGTCTTCCCCCCCCCGCGGCCGCCCGCCCTGCCTCCTCTCCCTCTTGCAGGCTGGCACAATTTGCCTTTCGGTGCCCCCGTCTAGCTGCTGCGCTGGTTCAGCCGATTCTGCCCCGCCGCCGACGGAAACAAACTGTTCCGTGTCTGTCGCGCTGCGGCGAGCATGGCAGCTGATACAGCATTCCGTGCTCGCGCATCTGCTGCGAAGCGCCACGAGTACAGACCAAAACAAGCGCGCGCGGCGCACAACGAAACGATCGTCGTGTCCAGGCCGGGGATGGCGATGCAAGCGCACGTGTCTATTCTGAGGCTCGGGGCGTGACCCGTCCCCCTGAGCGGCTCGCTCCCTCCGCCCCCTCTTTCGGCCGCGTCCTCCGCCTGCTCTCCCTCCTGCATGGTGGCACAAGTCGCTCTAACGGTACCCCTGTTCAGGCCCTTCCGCTGGCGCAAACGACCCCTGCCTCGCCGCCGACGCAAAAAACTTCTTCTGAGGCCTCGCTGCGGGCGAGCAGGTGTGCGGCGTCTGCCGACCGCTGGATCTCGACTGTGTGTGCGTCGGCCCCGCAGGGGCGACGCGCACGCTCGGAAATACACACATACACGCATACACGCATCCATTCATGAAAACATACATACATCCGTAAAAACCATAAACACGTATACACGTATATAAGCACGGAGGCTCAGACATAACACACATGCCGATACTGAGCTCTCAGCTTGTGTATCCAGTCTTCCATTTACTTTCTATCATATTGCATTGCTTGTTATCGCTCATCTTGCAGTGCTCATTATCCCTCGACGTTGCTTCTCATTTCTTCAGTCCATATGTCTGCGGAGGAACCGCAGGAGTCACGGAAACGATTGACAATAAGGGCATCGGTCGTAGAGGCCAAGCTGCTCAAGACAAGTCATTTCGACGACGTGCAAACCTTCATGCAAATAGTCGGGACGCCCATCGCGGACGGCACCATCGACGAGGAAGCTATAAATGCCTTGCAGAAGGGCAAGAACCACCAGTCTCCACAGCAAGTCCTCTGGGAAGGTCTGGACCTCAAGATGGATGGCGCGGACGGCGAGGAGAGGGGCGAGCGCTGGCAGGGCCCGTCCGTCTCTCTCTCTCTCTCTCTCTCTCTCTCCCTCTCTCTTCAAATTCGACAGCCGCTTGAAAGCCGCAGAGAAACGCCTTGACTTCCACGGCCAGCTCCACGCCGTAGCCGAGGGAAAAAAGGACCAGCCACCTGTCCATCCGACGGAAGGGCTCCATGGACATCCCCGCGTTTCATGCATAGGTGAAACAGTTCCAGGCAGCAGTGGGCAATTCTTTCGACCTCCGGAAGTTGATCGCCCGGCAGCTTGTCGAAAGGGGCGACGTTCTGTTTGAGGTCTGGGGCGGCAGCGCCCAGGGGGCGCTCGAGTCAGCTCTCGTTGATCTTGTCCGGGGCAAATCCCTCGGGCTTTTCGCCTTGAATTGCGTTGGAGAGTCCGCGAAACACCTAGGCAAACCAGCCCGAATCTTTCGCAGCGCTCTGTGCGCGATGGCTGAATCAGACCCTCGCCCTGCGAATCTCGGGCGCCCGTTGCGTATCAGGCGCGCTTCCCAGGGTTTTGATGCGTTTGAATACGGGTGGGATGTGAGGGCGGCCGTTGAGAAGGACGTGGTCTTCGCCAGGGGTTCCGTGGAGCACTGCGGGGGCGACAGCGAGCGCGTGTCCATCCAGATCGCCAAGAGCATCCCGTTCACGAGGGGGGAAGGGCGGCGAC